GCATCCAACCCAGGAGAAAGTGCGGGTTTTAAATATATATCCCCATTCAAATGCATTATCATTAAAAAAAAAAGGGGGGTTCCAACCCCAACCCCTGGATCGGCCACTGGGGTCACAAAAATTTTACAGACTTGGAAATAATTTTGAAATGTAATAGACCCATTATTTTAAAACAAAGACTTTCAGACTGGATTTGCATACCAAAAATAAAAATTGGTTTGTATACATTCCTACTCATATTCATATTGTTAACAAGAAGTTCTCTTTCTAAAAGAAGATATTAAAAACCTATCCCTCTACAAGACTAGTACCTTAAACCCTTATCTGAAAACTCACTCCATCAGTCTCTATTCTCTCTCCCCTATCCCCTCTCATTTCTCTCCCTCTCTTGTCTTCCATCCTTCCAACCTATTTAATTAAGTACCAATTGTTAGTAATGGTTAGTGTTGATACTTTAAGAATAAGATGTTTTTTATATTAAGATACAACCTGTAGAGGGATGGATAATTTTGCATGGAGACATACTTTTCAATTAAATATTTTAAAACCATATATAAAAATTTATGTTTTCTGTTACTACTAGGAATTGAACAACAGAATGAGTAACAGTTCATTTTCAAATAAACAAAAATAAAATGAATATGAATATTTTAAAAAGAATACTTTTCACTACCAATTATAACCTCCTCAATGGTCCTATGCTTGCCTGATGTGTTGGAGGTAAAGGGCTCTATCCCATGTATGGACAAACCAAAGACTTTAAAAGGGGTATTTGCTGCTTCTCCCTTAAGCAAGTAGTATTTAAAAGTAAGAGCAAAGTCTAGTTGACTTTGAGTCAGAATAAAATGTATCCCGGAAGGGTTGGAGATCTTTCTCAGACTAACATCCTTTACTTTGGGAAATTCCCAAAATTATACTGATAAACCTTGCATTACGAAATTGGTATCTTAAATGTTCTGTTCTGAAAGTTCCTTTAAAAATCTGTAAAATGGTTTATGAATAGCTGATACATATATGTTCTACGTCTGATTTTTAAGGGCAATTTGATCTAAAATTTGAAAATTTGAAAAATTATTTCACCATTTTTTAACTTTATCTTTAACATCAGACATGAATTATGGTTTTATTAAAATTTAATGGGAATATATCATTATTCCTTTTCATTTATAAATTTCCATATTATTTTATCTTGAAATTTCCAAAGGAAGGACAAAAGGTATGAACATTATTTGTCTTTATTTAAATTAACTAATCTTTTGACGTTTTTTTGTTTGTGTTGTTGGTTGCTGTTCACTTACATATATCAAAACAATCCTCAGAAATAAAAATGTATACTCTTAATTATATTTAATTCAAGTTAAAAGAATGTATCCATTCTGTATCATGATATAACTAAATCCAAAATTTCAGTTAAAGAATGTATCCATTCTGTTTCATGATATAATTAAATCCAAAATTTCAGTTAAAAGAATGTATCCATTCCGTATTATGATATAATAAAATCCCAAATTCCAGTTAAAAGAATGTGTCCATTCCGTATCATGATATAATTAAATCCAAAGTTTCAGTTAAAAGAATGTATTCATTCCGTATCATGATATAATTAAATCCAAAATTCCAGTTAAAAGAATGTATCCATTCCGTATCATGATATAATTAAATCCAAAATTTCAGTTAAAAGAATGTATCCATTCCGTATCATGATATAATTAAATCCAAAATTTCAGTTAAAAGAATGTATCCATTCCATATCATGATATAATTAAATCCTCCAAATTCCAGTTAAAAGAATGTATCCATTCCTTATCATGATATAATTAAATCCCAAATTCCAGTTAAAAGAATGTATCCATTCTGTACCATGATATAATTAAATCCCAAATTCCAGTTAAAAGAATGTATCTATTCTGTATCATGATATAATTAAATCCCCCCAATTCAAATTAAAAGAATGTATCCATTTCGTATCATGATATAATTAAATCCAAAATTCCAGTTAAAAGAATGTATCCATTCTGTTTCATGTTATGATTAAATCCCCCCAATTCAGTTAAAAGAATGTATCCATTCCGTATCATGATATAATTAAATCCCCCCAATTTAAATTAACAGAATGTTTCCATTCCATATCATGATATAATTAAATCCCCCAAATTCAGTTAAAAGAATGTATCATTTCCGTATCATGATATAATTAAATCCCAAATTCCAGTTAAAAGAATGTATCCATTCTGTACCATGATATAATTAAATCCCAAATTCCAGTTAAAAGAATGTATCTATTCTGTATCATGATATAATTAAATCCCCCCAATTCAAATTAAAAGAATGTATCCATTTCGTATCATGATATAATTAAATCCAAAATTCCAGTTAAAAGAATGTATCCATTCTGTTTCATGTTATGATTAAATCCCCCCAATTCAGTTAAAAGAATGTATCCATTCCGTATCATGATATAATTAAATCCCCCCAATTTAAATTAACAGAATGTTTCCATTCCATATCATGATATAATTAAATCCCCCAAATTCAGTTAAAAGAATGTATTCTTTCCGTATCATGATATAATTAAATCCAAAATTCCAGTTAAAAGAATGTATCCATTCTGTTTCATGTTATGATTAAATCCCCCCAATTCAGTTAAAAGAATGTATCCATTCCGTATCATGATATAATTAAATCCAAAATTCCAGTTAAAAGAATGTATCCATTCCGTATCATGATTTAATTAAATCCAAAATTCCAGTTAAAAGAATGTATCTATTCCATATCATGATATAATTAAATCCAAAATTTCAGTTAAAAGAATGTATCCATTCCGTATCATGATATAATTAAATCCAAATTTTCAGTTAAAAGAATGTATCCATTCCGTATCATGATATAATTAAATCCAAAATTTCAGTTAAAAGAATGTATCCATTCCGTATCATGATATAATTAAATCCAAAATTTCAGTTAAAAGAATGTATCCATTCCGTATCATGATATAATTAAATCCAAAATTCCAGTTAAAAGAATGTATCCATTCCGTATCATGATATAACTAAATCCAAAATTCCAGTTAAAAGAATGTATCTATATTCCGTATCATGATATAATTAAATCCAAATTTTCAGTTAAAAGAATGTATCCATTCCGTATTATGATATAATAAAAATCCCAAATTCCAGTTTAAAGAATGTATCCATTCCGTATCATGATATAATTAAATCCAAAGTTTCAGTTAAAAGTATGTATCCATTCTGTATCATGATATAATTAAATCCAAAATTCCAGTTAAAAGAATGTATCCATTCTGTTTCATGATATGATTAAATCCCAAATTCCAGTTAAAAGAATGTATCCATTCTGTTTCATGATATGATTAAATCCCCCAAATTCAAATTAAAAGAATGTATCTATTCCATATCATGATATTATTAAATCCCAAATTCCAGTTAAAAGAATGTATCCATTCTGTACCATGATATAATTAAATCCCAAATTCCAGTTAAAAGAATGTATCTATTCTGTATCATGATATAATTAAATCCCCCCAATTCAAATTAAAAGAATGTATCCATTTCGTATCATGATATAATTAAATCCAAAATTCCAGTTAAAAGAATGTATCCATTCTGTTTCATGATATGATTAAATCCCAAATTCCAGTTAAAAGAATGTATCCATTCTGTTTCATGATATGATTAAATCCCCCAAATTCAAATTAAAAGAATGTATCCATTCCATATCATGATATTATTAAATCCCAAATTCCAGTTAAAAGAATGTATCCATTCTGTACCATGATATAATTAAATCCCAAATTCCAGTTAAAAGAATGTATCTATTCTGTATCATGATATAATTAAATCCCCCCAATTCAAATTAACAGAATGTATCCATTCCATATCATGATATAATTAAATCCCCCAAATTCAGTTAAAAGAATGTATCCATTCCGTATCATGATATAATTAAATCCAAAATTCCAGTTAAAAGAATGTATCCATTCTGTTTCATGATATAATTAAATCCAAAATTCCAGTTAAAAGAATGTATCCATTCTGTTTCATGATATGATTAAATCCCCCAAATTCAGTTAAAAGAATGTATCCATTCCGTATCATGATATAATTAAATCCAAAATTCCAGTTAAAAGAATGTATCCATTCCGTATCATGATATAATTAAATCCAAAATTCCAGTTAAAAGAATGTATCTATTCCGTATCATGATATAATTATATCCAAAATTTCAGTTAAAAGAATGTATCCATTCCGTATCATGATATAATTAAATCCAAAGTTTCAGTTAAAAGAATGTATCCATTCCGTATCATGATATAATTAAATCCAAAATTTCAGTTAAAAGAATGTATCCATTCCGTATCATGATAGAATTAATCCCAAAATTTCAGTTAAAAAAATGTATCCATTCCATATCATGATATAATTAAATCCTCCAAATTCCAGTTAAAAGAATGTATCCATTCCGTATCATGATATAATTAAATCCCAAATTCCAGTTAAAAGAATGTATCCATTCTGTTTCATGATATGATTAAATCCCCCAAATTCAAATTAAAAGAATGTATCCATTCCATATCATGATATTATTAAATCCCAAATTCCAGTTAAAAGAATGTATCCATTCCATATCATGATATAATTAAATCCCAAATTCAAGTTCAAAATAATGGACCCATTTCTGCATCACGATATAATTAAACCCCAAGCATTTTTTTTTTTTTTCTATTTTTCTTAAAATCATTAAAAACCATCACCCATGCATATTTTTTGTTTTTTTTCTATTTTTCTTAAAATCATTAAAAACCATCACCCATGCATATTTTTTCTTTTTTTTTTTCTATTTTTCTTAAAATCATTAAAAACCATCACCATGCATTTTTTTGTTTTTTTCTATTTTTCTTAAAATCATTAAAAACCATCACCCATGCATTTTTTTGTTTTTTTCTATTTTTCTTAAAATCATTAAAAACCATCACCCATGCATATTTTTTTTTTTTCTTTTTTTTTTTTTTTCTTAAAATCATTAAAAACCATCACCCATGCATTTTTTTGTTTTTTTCTATTTTTCTTAAAATCATTAAAAACCATCACCCATGCATATTTTTTTTTTTTCTATTTTTCTTAAAATCATTAAAAACCATCACCCATGCATTTTTTTGTTTTTTTCTATTTTTCTTAAAACTATATACACATTTGACACTATCCACATTTTCATAAATAATTTTTCTGTTTCCTCCTGAAAATCTTTAACAAAAATATTGAAAAACAGTTTTGAAATGGTCATTCCCCTTTTTACACAAAAATTTGACAACTTAAATATGTTACATTTACAATAAAATTTACAAATTATTTAAAAACAACAAAAGTGTGAAAAGAGATATAGGTACCAAACTTACTTTTCTGAAACATGTGTATCCATTTCTTTGAGTTCAAAGTTCATTGTAAAGCCAATCTGTCATCAATACAAACTGAACAGCTAAATTTGGATTCCAATGGATATCAGATACCAGTAAATTTGGAGCATGCAGTGCACCTATGGATTTGAATTTGATTTTTTGGTGTTTTAACGCCACTTTTAAGCACTACTTTGGCTATTTCATGGCGGCCAGTTTGTACTGGTGGAGGAAGCCAGAGTGCCTGGAGAAAACTACTGACCTTCAATAGGAAAACTGACAACCCTAAGTCAATTAAGATTGGAGTCATGTGCACCCGCACGAGCGGGGTTCCAACTCACAACCTCAGTGTTGACTGGCTAGTGATTACAGTAGTAACTACTTCGACCACTTGGCCACCTAGGCCCCCATGTTCCTATGGATACCTTATTTACATTGGTAAGACACATGGGATGTTCCTATGGATACCTTATTTACATTGGTAAGACACATGGGATGTTCCTGTGGATACCTTATTTACATTGGTAAGACACATGGGATGTTCCTGTGTGGATACCTTATTTACATTGGTAAGACAAATGGGATGTTCCTGTGGATACCTTATTTACATTGGTAAGACACATGGGATGTTTCTGTGGATACCTTATTTACATTGGTAAGACACATGGGATGTTTCTGTGGATACCTTATTTACATTGGTAAGACACATGGGATGTTTCTGTGGATACCTTATTTACATTGGTAAGACACATGGGATGTTCCTATGGATACCTTATTTACATTGGTAAGACACATGTGATGTTCCTATGGATACCTTCATTTCTTTGGAGAGGAACATGTGATGATCCTATGGATACCTTCATTACTTTGGAGAGGAACATGTGATGTTCCTATGGATACCTTTATTACTTTGGAGAGAAACATGTGATGTTCCAATGGATACCTTAATTACTTTGGAGCGGAACATGTGATGTTCCTATGGATACCTTTATTACTTTGAAGAGGAACATGTGATGTTCCTATGGATACCTTTATTACTTTGGAGAGGAACATGTGCTGTTCCAATGGATACCTTCATTACTTTGGAGCGGAACATGTGATGTTCCTATGGATACCTTTATTACTTTGGAGAGGAACATGTAATGTTCAAATGGATACCTTTATTACTTTGGAGAGAAACATGTGATGTTCCTATGGATACCTTCATTACTTTGGAGAGGAACATTTGATGTTCCAATGGATACCTTTATTACTTTGAAGAGGAACATGTGATGTTCCAATGGATACCTTCATTACTTTGGAGAGGAACATGTGATGTTCCAATGGATACCTTTATTACTTTGGAGCGGAACATGTGATGTTCCTATGGATACCTTTCTTACTTTGGAGCGGAACATGTGATGTTCCAATGGATACCTTCATTTCTTTGGAGCGGAACATGTGATGTTCCTATGGATACCTTTATTACTTTGGAGAGGAACATTTGATGTTCCAATGGATACCTTTATTACTTTGGAGAGGAATATGTGATGTTCCAATGGATACCTTTATTACTTTGGAGAGAAACATGTGATGTTCCTATGGATACCTTTATTACTTGGGAGAGGAACATGTGATGTTCCAATGGATACCTTTATTACTTTGGAGAGGAACATTTGATGTTCCAATGGATACCTTTATTACTTTGGAGAGGAATATGTGATGTTCCAATGGATACCTTTATTACTTTGGAGAGAAACATGTGATGTTCCTATGGATACCTTTATTACTTGGGAGAGGAACATGTGATGTTCCAATGGATACCTTTATTACTTTGGAAAGGAACATGTACCATAATGTTCCTATGGGTATATTAATTTCTGGTAAAAATGGGACATGTTCCCATGGATACTCTAAATTTAGGGAACATCTAATTTACCAAATTTAAAATTTTAAAAAGAAGTTTAGAAAAGGATGGAGGAACTTTTTATCACTTTATTTAAATTCTGTATCTTTAGGTTTCCGTCCCCCTTTTTTCTTTTAAAATTTGTTCTTTTTTTTTTTTTTAAGAGGGGAGGCTATTTCAATTAATCTAAATTTTAAATATTTGGCTTCCATTCTCTGTTTCACTTTAAAATTTATCTAAACGAAGGAGATGTGTGAAACATATATTGAATTTGAAGGAAAATTTAACAGTTATTATAAGTTAATATGAAGGATTTGGTTATTCTGGGTTTTTTATAATTTGTCCTTTGTCCATTATTAATTGAAAATGACTTTAGGGATTATGTTATTGAGACAGCAACTAAACAACACAAAAAACCTGGACCCCAGAGGTCAATATAGTCTCCAACAAAAACAAGTTTCTATACTATAGGTCAAGTACTTAATTGTATGTTTTTGTGGTTTTTTTTACAACACAAAATTGTTTAAATAGAGTGAGATTTTATTTACTCAATTTTAATGAAAGGAATTCAGAAACACGCATAAATGTTTAAACCAAAGGTTTTTAATTTAATGTTCAATTGATATTTTAAAGTTTAAAAGGTACACTTTGGTTCTTGTTTGACAACTTTAAGAAAGACCACTTTAATGGTTAATTTGAACACTGGAATATCTTTAGTAAAAACTGAAAGTTTAAACGGGAATATTTTTTCATTTTCATTTTTATCCAAAATTACTGGGGTATTTGTGCTCCACAAACTTCAAAGCAACAATAAAATCATCACAACAATGTGAATACAACATTAACACATAACTTACTTCATTCAATGGACAGCAACTCTTTCCCCATTCCCTCTTTTATCTCCCCCAGTTCACCAGGCCATGGATGTAACCTTCTCCCTCTGTTATCTCCCCAAATACACCAGGCCCTGGGTTTCCCCTCTCCTTTTATCTCCCCACTTCACCAGAGTCCCTGGGTTTCCCCTCCCCTTTCTTTAAGCCCTAAAATCCCAGGCCAAGGTATTTCCCTTATTCCTCCCTACCTGCCCAAAATCCAAGTCCCAGGTCAATTTTAAATAGATGTTGCTATATTTGGCTAGGGTTTAATTAAATAGAACAATGAAAGAAAACATCAGCAAGCCAGCATAAGCTTTACATGTTAATTTATATATGCAATGCTAATTATCCTATGCAGGTATGCAGGTTTATGCAGATTGTGCAGTGTTAGATACATTGTTATACTTGACTTGCCAGTGTTAACTTTGGATATACTTTATATTTTTGTAAAAAAAGAAATTTGAACCCAGCAAGTTATGTAATAATGTTGTACTCAGACACTATAATAATGCAATATCATTCACATCAAGTTGTTGAAAGCCCAAATCTTTTGCTGAATTAAAAATTTTAAACTTATTTAATTGCAAGAAAAAAGAATTTTTAATTATTTTGCTTTATTATTATTTTTTAAAGATATTTAGTTAATTTTGTCTACTCTTTTCTTTATAGATATTTAGTTAATTTAGTAGACTTTTTTCTTTATAGATATTTAGTAAATTTAGTTGACTTTTTTTTTATAGATATTTAGTAAATTTTGTGGACTTTTTCTTTATAGATATTTAGTAAATTTTGTGGACTTTTTTCTTTATAGATATTTAGTAAATTTTGTGGACTTTTTTCTTTAAAAGATATCTAGTAAATTTTGTGGACTTTTTTCTTTATAGGTATTTAGTAAATTTTGTGGACTTTTTTCTTTATAGATATTTAGTAAAATTTAGTCGACTTTTTTCTTTATAGATATTTAGTAAAATTTTGTGGACTTTTTTCTTTATTGATATTTAGTAAAATTTTGTGGACTTTTTTCTTTATAGATATTTAGTAAAATTTTGTGGACTATTTTCTTTATAGATATTTAGTAAATTTTGTGGACTTTTTTCTTTAAAAATATTTAGTAAATTTTGTCAACTTTTTTCTTTATAGATATTTAGTAAATTTTGTGGACTTTTTTCTTTAAAGATATTTAGTAAATTTTGTGGACTTTTTTCTTTATAGATATTTAGTAAATTTTGTGGACTTTTTTCTTTATAGATATTTAGTAAAATTTTGTGGACTTTTTTCTTTATAGATATTTAGTAAATTTTGTGGACTTTTTTCTTTAAAGATATTTAGTAAATTTTGTCAACTTTTTTCTTTATAGATATTTAGTAAATTTTGTGGACTTTTTTCTTTAAAGATATTTAGTAAATTTTCTGGACTTTTTTCTTTATAGATATTTAGTAAATTTTGTGGACTTTTTTCTTTATAGATATTTAGTAAAATTTAGTCGACTTTTTTCTTTATAGATATTTAGTAAAATTTTGTGGACTTTTTTCTTTATAGATATTTAGTAAAATTTTGTGGACTTTTTTCTTTATAGATATTTAGTAAAATTTTGTGGACTTTTTTCTTTATAGATATTTAGTAAATTTTGTGGACTTTTTTCTTTAAAGATATTTAGTAAATTTTGTCAACTTTTTTCTTTATAGATATTTAGTAAATTTTGTGGACTTTTTTCTTTAAAGATATTTAGTAAATTTTGTGGACTTTTTTCTTTATAGATATTTAGTAAATTTTGTGGACTTTTTTCTTTATAGATATTTAGTAAAATTTAGTCGACTTTTTTCTTTATAGATATTTAGTAAAATTTTGTGGACTTTTTTCTTTATAGATATTTAGTAAAATTTTGTGGACTTTTTTCTTTATAGATATTTAGTAAAATTTTGTGGACTTTTTTCTTTATAGATATTTAGTAAAATTTTGTGGACTTTTTTCTTTATAGATATTTAGTAAAATTTTGTCGACTTTTTTCTTTATAGATATTTAGTAAATTTTGTCGACTTTTTTCTTTAAAGATATTTAGTAAATTTTGTCAACTTTTTTCTTTATAGATATTTAGTAAATTTTGTCGACTAATTTTTGTACTATAAACACTAAACATATTGTATAGATGCCTATCTTTGTTGAAGACTATGTTGACCTAAAGACGCCTTGTTTTTGTTGTTTGTTAAGTACCCCTCATTGATGTATACCAAATATATTCTTTAATTTATCAGAAGCTGCCAAATTAAGATACAGAAACCTTTTTTAATATTTTTAAAAATTTTAAAAAGAGTGGTCAAGGTTAAAATGAACAAATGCGAAATGTTTGGGATGTTTAATAGGAAATTAGTGATATTTTCTTTTTTTGTTTGACTTCTGATCCGTTACTTTTTATAAATGCTCTCAATGAATTATAAAACAGAAGTGGTAATTTTATCCTTTCATCCAGAAGTGAAAATTGCTGAAAAAATTCCTTTATTTAAATTATGAAATTTATGTAGGGAACTTTAATGTTCATTTTCTTTCTAAAGGGTGGTGACAATTTAATGTTTTAAATGAGTCAAAGGAAATATTTTGTATTTTTCATCAAAATTTCAAAAGCTAAATGGAATGTTGCAGTTATGCTGGATTTTTAAGCCCCATATATGGACATTATGTTTTCTGGTCTTACCCAGTCGTCTGTTTGTCGGTCCTTTCTTTTGTTTGTCTGTTCGTTCGTCTGTCACACTTCAGGTTAAAAATTACTCTGGTATTAGATGCAACTTTTAAATTTTAAATTTTAACAGGATGTGACTATGTATTAACTAAAGGGTGGCTAATCTTTTGCAAGCGTTTTACTGCCGGTCAGAAGAAGACCAATGGATGACCATATTTTTATACCCCAGTCAACCCTTGGGGAAGGGAGCTATTTTTGTGAAAATAGGTACACATATATTTAAAGCTGTTTAGCAGGAATATGCTTCTTACATGTGCTTGTTGCTTTTAAGCAATTAATCATATCTGTGATCCTGCTAACAGATATAATCATTCTGTAGAAGTAAACATTGGCCTTGACCTGACACTGCATATCTTTGACCTTACAAATAACCATTCTTACAAATAGTTTGATCTTAAATCTAGTAGACCTCTACCCTTTAAAGGAGTAATGACCATTCTATTCTTGTCAATGTTGACCTGAACTTTAAACCTCTAACCTATGACCAAACTTTAAAAGAAAATGTTGACCTGAAATGATTGGATATCTATACTGATTGACCTTGACCTGACTGATAATTATGGTGATCCATTTTGACAGTTGTCCAGCCTGAAAGTTTAACGTGTGTTGGATAAAAAGAACAGTGGTTACAAAAAGACAGACACACTCTTTATAAATTTCCAAGTTAAGTAAATTAAACATTAAAAACTTTCATTTAAATTAAAACAAAATATTTTCATAAAACTTTAATGATTAAATAGCCAAAATTATAAAAACACTCATTCTGAAGTTTTGAAGAAATTGTGTTACTTAGCAAAGAATGAAAATCTTTCAAAAATAAACTGAATGACCATAAATCAAAACAAAAATTTCAAGTTTCAAAAATTAGCTTTTCCA